GTATTAAGTTAGGTTTGTCAGTTTCGGTTTGTCTGTCAAGAGAAAACTACGTGAACGCCCGTGTAGGAGGGTCGGGACGCTTAAAATATATATGTTTGGATGTGATGAGTTAAATTGTCTGTCACTATGTAAGCCGTCTGCAGCATTAGCCCAGAGCTACTGGCCACCGGCCGAGAGAAATTTCTCTTTTTCCCTTGGATTTCCCGGCAATCCGGACCTCAAACTCGACCCTTCTGACCTGGGGGATTAGATCGCAAACGACATACAACCGAATAATTAGTTTATCTACCTGTACAAGGCATTCGTTGAAAATGTGTCGTAATTTTAATTTTACAGTGACTAGATTTATTTTGATATTCATTTTGTTTTCATTTATTTTCGTAGCCCACAGATGCCACGATAGCCCCGTTAAGAGCATCAGCATCATGTGCGTCTGCAGCAGCAGCTTTTGCTGCTGTGGCGAGTGCTGCCGCTGCAGCAGCTTTTCTGTGTGCCGACGGAGGGGCCGTGGCGGCGTGAGCTGCTGTAGCCGCTGCAGCAGCCGCCGCAGCTGCAGCTGCTGCTGTTGCTGCTCTTTGGTGAGGTAGGCAAAAAAAAAAAAACGAAAGGTAACATGACCAGAAAGTGTACACAGCATTATCATTTCCACCAAGGTGCACACTCACATACACAAACGCACAGGTATCACTCCATTCACTTCACTACACTGTATCAGCGGGTGGAAACTCTGATGCCGCTCTGAAACAAGGATCGACATTTAGGCTTTACCCCGGTTAACGCCATTTTGTCGTCCTTAATGTGAGAAAACGGAGAGACCAACTCAAAATCTGAGCACAGCTATGAATTCAGCGTGTTGTTCTGTGTGCATTTCACTTCTTGGGTTTCGAAGAAAGAGGGTCTGTTCCCTAGGAACACACGCTCAATGGCAGACTGTTTCGTCAATGTCATGCAATTCAATCGCTGCCTACCTGGTATATTTTAGGTGTACTACATATCAATTTATCTGCAATATTGTTATGATCATCTTCATTATCTTGATATTGATATATCTACCTCTGGTCTAAATTACCTCTACGCGCCATCTACGTGCAGTTCACTACCATGGGTGAACGGGATATTTTGAAAATTTGGAAAATATTTCCCTTCGCTTTGGATTGAAATATGTTAAAGACAACATGGACGTGGTGAACTTAAGGCTTCATTTGAAAAAGCCTAAGTCATATTTACACCTCAAGAAAGCCGCTTGGTTCCCTGCAGGCTACTCTACAAATTTTCTGGTAATGGATGCACTGGTCCACCCACAACCTTCAAGATCTGACGCTTCAACAGCATTTTTTTCGAACCAAAGACTGGAACTTGCACAAGGTCAATCAAGATCTTCAAATTCACGAAGCAGGACAAAAGCAGCTGAGAGTAATTAGAAGTTGTCGAGGTATGAGTCTAGCGTAACATTTCACATTTCAATGTTTCAGTTTTCATGGTGCAATGTCAGACTTGTAATTAAATGTTCAATTTGTACATCTATCGCTGTTACTAATTTTATGTTTTCAGTAAATATCCCTGACTTGTTTTTAAGAGTAAGTCCTATGTGATATTTTGATTCGATAATTAGTGTTCCTTCTATTGACGGATCGTGTTATGCAATTGTTCCTCTTCAACTTTTTACCTTCCGTTTGTCCCCGCTAAAGCATCTGTTATCTGTCTAGTTCGGTTGTTGTACCCATTAAGTTATGTGACACGTAATTTTATTACTGCAGTTTGTGCTCTTTGTTTTTGTAGGAGGAAGCGGAATGTGTACACTCTAATTTTGTTATTCGATTTTATATTGACTGTTGATTGTTTAAGTTTCCACATTTATTATTGTTATTGGCTGAGCGATTAGCGAAGCCTATTACTCCATCTGGTCGGAAAATACACTCGTCAAAACATTTAGCGGTCCATTTTTTTACGCGTGGATTAAATTATCTCCCCTAGCACCTAGGAAGTCAAGATTTGACATAGACATGCACCCGTGTGTGTAGTTTAACACCTTCGAGTGCGAATGTCGTGCGACACCCCTTAGGCCGTACGCATCCCCTAATGATCACGGGGGTGGAAAAGTCGGAAAAAACGTGAAAGGTTAGGGTGGAAGGGGGTGCCGGAAGTGGCTAAAATTTGGTGTACGGGTGTCCTAGGAACCAATTTGAAGGTTTT